TAGAATTAAAAGAATGTTATGCAATTAAAAATGATCGAGATTAACTATGTCATTAAAATATGCTTTCTCCTAATCAAAACTGATGTGAGAAAATAGGATGCAAAAGAATTAAACATTTCATCAAATTCCTGATTGCAAGTTTATTGGCTTTAATTTTTCAGTTAAATTCAATTTCATTTTTTTTTATACATGGCGAACATATAGCATTTTTACATCCTTTTCATCTTGAATACGGTTGCTCTCTCTTTTTTAAACAGCCCATTGCTCAGAGAACGTTATATTTTCGTTGTTTTTCTCTCAGCATGTTCAAGTATGTTAGTTTTCAATGTGGATGTTGATATCAATTGTTCTAGCAGAGGAATTATTTGAATCTCCTTGTCGTACATTTAGCTTGTAAATACTTATAAACTTCACTGCTTTGTATAATAAAATGCAATATCTTTTTATAATTCCTTTCTTTCTAATGCATTAAAAGGCCTTGGGAGTTCTGGAAATGCCAAACTATAGGCCTTTTTATCTTCAGGGCATACAATAGCCTGATCTTTCTTTTCAGTTGTTCCCGGATTACTCTTATCTTCTTTTTTCTTTATAGCTTCTATAGCTTCTAAAGTTTCCTTTCTGAGTGGAACACCTTTAACATTCAATGTACCCGTGCACGTCGTGAAACACTTTTCCCCGTCCCATCTACAAACTTTAAGGTCATTACCAGGCCTCAAAATAATTTGCAATGTTTCGATGAAATCTGATGAATTTGTAGCTTTTATTATTGATTTTAATACATCTTTTCTTTTTTTGGACTCCAACAAATCTAATAATTCTTTAACTAGAACCGATTCAATTTCATATGTTTGCTCTGTTATTGGAATTATATTCACATTATATAAAATAATGAAACTTATCAAAAGTATTCTGTCTACGATCCCTGATGATAATTTACTTGACATTTTTATAAGATTCATCTTGCACGAAAATCCACAAAGCATTTGCAACAAACTGTGTAACATAAATGTTGAATCCGGTGGGGGATTTTTTTTTAAAGTTTCAAATATCGATTTTGATCCAAGAAATAAATGCTCAGCATATTTAACACTTGCCAAGAAGGAATCTGGAAGAACAAAACTCTCATTTCGCGCACATGCCACAGAACAGAATGCTACGGAAGCAAACAATTCATTGAAGAGTATTAAAATTTCTGGAATAACGGGCAATTGCTGCTTTTCGGACGCACTTAAAAGAGCACAGAAGGTGTCAAAACTTTGAACAGCAGATACGATATTTTCTTTCCGTAAATTATCAAATGAGTTGAAAAATGTCAAAAGTATGCGGTGAACATTGACTTTCTTGACATCATTTTCAAACGATTTTTGAAATTGTTGCATATCTGTTATTTCAAGATCTTCAAATCCTAGTGCAATTTTCACCAGAAGTATTTCGATACTTTTTCCAATGCTCTTTGATTCTGTGTCTAAATGTCTTATACTTGTTTCAAAATATTTCATGATTTCCTCTCTAAAATTGCTGAACCGTTTATCATGCAGTAGTTTGGATAAACCGTGTTTGACGGCGATTTCAACGGTAGTGGTTTCAAGGGGATCAGTGTAAAATAGATCACTGATAAATGTTTTACATCTTTCCGTCATATTTTGATCTTTCCATGGATCTAGTATATTTAAGCATGCAAGGAGCTCAACGGACATCATATTTAATTGGTTGATGTGTAAAACAGGATTTCTTCCACAATCAGGAGTATTTTGTTTTTCACCTTCTCTCCAAATAATGCCTTTTTCCTCAAAATGTCTTTTTAGAAACCCTTTAGTGGTGTCTTTTCGTTTATATAGGTTTCTGAGCAAAATATCTTCCCAAGTTCTATATCGTTTTTCCCAAAACTTTAAACAACAAGTTTGTACGTTATTGGCGTCCAAGGAATCTTCAAATAGTTCTTTTGTTTGAGATATTTTCGCTGCTAATGGACATTGTCTGGGGTATATTTTGTAGGAAGGTGTTGCTTTATCTTTGTAATATCCATAAAACTCGTACCATAACTTCAAGTCTGCAGCGATATTCATTTCTTTGTCCAAAGAAGAGACAGTCTCTTTGATGTGCATTATAATCCTTTCAATGTTGGAAAAAGCTAACAAGTCAATATTGTTGATAAGCCATTCGATGCATTCTAACTGACCAAAAAACCCAGCATGCTTTTCTTTTTTAAAGGTTTGAAATGCAGTTTTAACAAAGTTTGAATTTTTGGTCAGCTGCCCTATTAGCAATTGTGCTTTTCCAGTATAAATTATATTTTCACTAGTTTCCTCTGGTGAAATTAGTGTATTTAAGTGGTCTACAATTTTTCTAATATTTCTCTCGTCTTTATTATCTTTGTCATATATTGCACGCTGTGCCATCAGTACGATACACTGAATTTGGATTTGTTTGTTCTTGTTTTCTGGATCATTCTCAATCGCAAGTATCAAGGCCTTACTAGCCGCTCCGCATTTTAAAAAGAAATCTATTTTTTCCACCACATCAGCTTTGGGGAAAAATAAAAGAGTTATTAAATTTAAATTTGTTAACAAAAATATATTGATGAATTTAGATGAAATGTGATATGATATTCTATATTGAAATATATATAAAATATAGACCTACCTTTACCATATTTCAAATTAAATGCTTCTTCAACGTTGTCATACTCCAGGAAGATTTCAAACTTTGTTTTAAAATCGTCAATCCTTTCTGCATATCCTACCATTTTTGGTATATTTTGTGTTTTCCCACAGTATTTCATAGCTTTGATATAAATCTGCTTTTCATCGCTTAAATCTTCTGGAATTTCGTCCTATTAAAAAAATGCTTTTCTATAAATAAAACGATTTAGCTCGATTTATTTGTTTAAAAAAGTGCCACCTAATTATTTCTCTTTTGAAAATTTCTAAAACAACTTCTTATGACTTATTCAAGATAAAGTTTAAAATTAATTTTATTATATATCATCATTTTCGAAGATTATCAAATTTATTTCATTATAAAAAAGAATGTGATTAATATTGTGAAAACCAACCTAGCAAGGAGTGAATATTAGTTAAGTTGAACAGACATATCCGGGGGAGGGGGGGGGCGGGGGGACTAGAGAGAAAAAGATTTCGGAAGAGGAAGGGCTTCTCTCAGTAACAAATTGTATCAATATACTTTTAGATTACCCTTATTTGACAATACAGCCACAAAAAAAGTGGATTGACCTTTCATTTTACATTGGTTTTGTTAAGAAAAATATGAAGGGTAACCCCTTTCTTCTGACCTTTTGTATTAGGTAAGAAAGATATCTAGTATTTTTTTAAAATCTTAAACAGGTGGTCCATGGCCAATATCGCTCACCTGAGCATAATGGCCAGAAAAAAAGCACACATCAGTTAAGTATTTAAATTTTTGAGAATGTTTCAATATCAATAACAACGGCTTTACTCTTCTTGAACAGATTTTCCCCAAAATATTCCTTTGTAAATATTTCATACCTAATGTTGATGATGCTTCCATATCAATAAAACTAAACTATAGCCTTTCCGTTCTATTGAAGAGGGCTTTCCTATTGATTACAATGAAAAACTTTGATCGTTTATTGTGGTTCAACCCTCCCCTCCCCCAGTCATGATTTGAACAAACTTGATTCTATACTACGTACATGTATACCTGAGGAAACGGCCAGTTATTTATGACCAATCATGGCTTTGCTGTATTCCAAAGGAAAATTTTTAAAGATTTTTCTCATACATTCCTATGTAAAGCTTTTAAACTTTGTAAAACCCCGCCCTAACCCCTAGGGGTCATGATTTGAGCAAACTTGATTTTACACTACTTGAGGATGCCTCCACATAAGTTTTATTTTTCCTGGCCCAGAGGTTCTAGAGAAGAAGATGTAAAAAAAAAATTACTACATCTTCCTATGTAAAACTTTGATTTCTTCTTGAGGGCTCACCCTATCCCTGCGGGTCCTGATTTGAACAAACTTAATTCTACACTACCTGATTCCACAAAATTTTTATCTTTCCTGGCGCAGTGATTCTTGAGAAGTCAAGAACATTTTTAAAATACTTTTCTTATGCATTTTTATTTTAAACCTCGATCCCCCATAGTGGCCCCACCCTACTCTCGGGGGTTATGATTTGATTGATTGATTGATTGTATATTGTTTAACGTCCCTCTTGAGAATTTTTCACTCATATGGAGACGTCACCGTATGCCGATGAAAGGCTTCAAATTTAGACCTATACTCGGCACTCAGGGCCATTGAGCAGTGAGGGTTCTTTATCGTGCCAGCGCCTACCGTGACACGGGACCTACGTTTTTAAGGTCATATCCGAAAGACCCGTGACTTTCACTTCTAGTGCCGAGCGCTTGGCGAAGGAACAGTCACTACAAGAATCGAACCCGGGCATCCCGATCTACCACTAAGCTACCGTGACCTGTAGTTATGATTTGAAGAAACGTGAATCTACACTACCTGAGGATGCTTCCACGTGAGTTTTATCTTTACTGGCCCGTGATTAATTTTTCACTAATTCATAATTCATATCTCTCCTTGGAAGACCTCCATTTGAAAAAAAAAGCTGAATCCCCTTCAGCTAAGGATACTTTATGGCAAGTTTGGTTGAAATTGGCCAACTTTATCTTTAGACGGAGATGGAAATGTGAAAAGTTTACAACAACGACGACGACAACGCCAGACAACAGACAAATTTTGATCAGAAAAACTCACTTCAGCCTTCGGCTCAGGACTCATTTCTCATTTCTGTTGCAAAAAAGGATGCATGCCCTTGACATTGTTATATTCACGATAAAAACAAAGCAATATATACAGCATTCGTTTTTCTAATGCAAAGAAAAACGGGATAAACAGGATGGTAGACAAGTTTCGCAAATGCAAAACATCCCTTTTATATATTTTTGACGGTGACTTTGGAATGAAACGTTAAACATTCTCCAAATTCGTCAATAAAACCTACTACTGATATTCTATTAAACATCCCAAGATGTTTTCCAGACAAGAAGAGAATAAATTATACTATTGCTGCTTTGAATTGCTGTTTAATTTATTACAATTGATATATTGAATAAAGTCAGCTTCAAACTTTTACAATGTACGCAATCGTAGTAAATATATTTATTCAATACTTTCATCTTTACCTTACTGATTCCATGTGACTTGAATCTTTTCACACATTCTAAACCAGGGTCAAAATTTGCACTATTTATTAAAACTTTTAGTGCTTTCCCAAAATATTCTATATTTTCCAGACATTTACTCTGATGTATTGGCATTCCAGCTCGGCCATACATTTCTGCAGCTTCATCAATCTAAAAAAAATGCATGATGGATGCTTTTCTTATTTCACGTAAAAAAAGGAATGTAATAGTTCTTATATGACATCGTGTGACTTTTTAAAGCAATATGAGCTGATATTTCGAGAATTTATTTTGCTCTTAAAGTGTGCTGTAATGATAATTTTATATGTAATTTAAATGTTTATGATGAGTTAGATTAAAAGAAAGTATTAAATTGCTTCAGAAAAATGATTTTTGTGCAAGGGTATATTTAGTATTATATAAGAAACAAATATTGTACAGGAAGACAATAATGTAATTTTGCTTAATTTTGCTATTTATCTAAGCACGTAAAAAGTTCTACCATTACACACATGAACGACAAAAGTATTTAAATCTTCTATTTTCTATTAATTATTAAAATAGTTGATTACAATTTTCCAACAAAAATTTTTCCGACATCAGAGTTGCGGCTCATAATGCTTTAAGAATTATATAACGTTGAGTGTTTGTTCCGACAAACATTGCACAATTAAAGTTGTAATAATTGAATGAATCAGAAAGTGAATTTAGGTCCTAATATGTAAGCCTGTTTCCCGTGGAGAAATATCTATAATTCAAAAACTGTGACACATTAAATCGTCCACCCTTCCCTTACTGCACTTTAAGCACTTTTATTTACCGTGTTAACGTCACAATATCAAGTTACTCTTTTCCGTATAAATCAGGCATCGCCTCCTTAAATGTCACTTATGAACTACACACACACACACACACACACCCTCACACCCACCCACCCACACACACACACACACACACACACACACACACACACACACACACACACACACACACACACACACACACAAACATATATATATATATATATATATATATATATATATATATATATATATATATATATATATATATATATATATATAAGCACTAAAAAACCAACAACACTGTATATCCAAAATGTCGGATCTACCAAGTAGATACAAGGTCACGGAAGAAAATTTATATAAAGCACTAAAAATGACAAACGACACGAACAATAAAAATTGTCAAATTTTTATATTCCTCAGGACAAAGAAAAAAGTTAAAAAGTCATAAGAACAAAAGAAAAAGAGATACAAAACAACTAGCACTACTAATAAACTACTAAACACTAAATATTTACATATTTAATTACATGTTGAATTGGAAATTTTTAAGAACACTAATAAAGAAAGAAATCCGGACCGCTATGAAATGCGTCCGGTCTATCGGGTATACTCGGGTGAAGTGCGATTTACATAATTGAACAAATTAATTATGCTAATTAATTACGACAATCAGTAAATCGTACATTGTTTCATTCTCTCAAAATGGCGTAACTTTACTTAATACAGAATAATGAAAGAAAAATCATATAGTAGGGATATTTAAACATATGAATTGTGATCAGTTATAAATTTTGAAATATTTAAGGACTTATTATCGGGAAAAAAAATAATTAACGAAGGCGTAAGCAATACATAGTTATGTGGTTGTTCGAGAGTTGGTGGCGCAAATTAACTGTAGAGTTTACACTAAATTGAGAGAATAATTTTGTTTAGTATGATCAGGAATTGGGTCTAATTAACGTTCATTCTGGTGAAGTCATTCAATTTGTTAATACCATGTGGGCGGAATGACTTCAGTCTGTGCATCCAGAACTTTTCTTTGCTTTTCCTCTGAGCATCTGTCCATCTTGGGTTATGGTCAATCACCACTACTGTCATGTCCTCCCATTTGTGACCCTCAAGGTTGAAATGTTCCCCAACGGGTTCATTGAGTTTTTTGGTCCTAATGGTCGAACGGTGGTTATTGACTCTCCTACGGAGATCTCCTGTTTCACCAATATACTGTTTGGAGCAAACTTTGCAACTGATGAGATAAATGCAGTTGTCAGTATGACAGGAAAAATTCCCTAGTATTTTGTAGCTGCGGCCTGTAACAGGGCTGTAAAAACTGTCTGTGCCAGTGATGTGCTTACAAAGAAGACATCTCCTGTCAGAGCAAGTTTTAAAGCCCCCGTTAGGTAATGGGTTGTCCAGTCTGGTTCTTACTACCATGTCCTTCAGATTCCTTGGGCGTCTGTATGTATCAATCAGGGTAGATGTAGTATCTAGGAATACGTTTTTCGAATTAGATACGTCTACTGTAAATTTGATCGACTGATGAAAGGTGTTGGCAAACGTAATGAATGCCTCGAGGCTCTCGCAACTACATCTAGATACTACATCTACCCTGATTGATGGTGAAATCGAATTCAGTCTCCACACCAAACCCACAGACTCCCACCTATATCTTATGCCCACTAGCTGTCATCCCCCACACATTTTTAAGGGAGTGCCTAAGGGTCTAGCCACCAGAATTCGACGCATCTGTTCGTCCCCTGCCTTATATCAGGAGCAAAGTAGTCTTCTTAAGTCCCACTTATGCAAAAGAGGCTACAATGCCCGCACCGTACAAACAGCTATTGATGAGATGGCGGAACATGACAGGCAAAACCTATTACGCTACAAGGAAAAAGACAATAGCGACAGGGTCCCTCTGGTAACCACATACCATCCCGTCCTTAAGAACCTTAGCGGTATCCTTCAAAAGAACCTACCAATTCTCCATTCAAACAAACGAATGGCAGAGGTCTTAAGGAACCCCCATTGGCTGCATACAGACGCCCAAGGAATCTGAAGGACATGGTAGTAAGAACCAGACTGGACAACCCAGTACCTAACGGGGGCTTTAAAACTTGCTCTGACAGGAGATGTCTTCTTTGTAAGCACAGCACTGGCACAGACAGTTTTTACAGCCCTGTTACAGGCCGCAGCTACAAAATACTAGGGAATTTGTCCTGTCATACTGACAACTGCATTTATCTCATCAGTTGCAAAGTTTGCTCCAAACAGTATATTGGTGAAACAGGAGATCTATAGGAGAGTCAATAACCACCGTTCGACCATTAGGACCAAAAAACTCAATGAACCCGTTGCGTTACATTTCAACCTTGAGGGTCACAAATGGGAGGACATGACAGTAGTGGTGATTGACCATAACCCAAGATGGACAGATGCTCAGAGGAAAAGCAAAGAAAAGTTCTGGATGCACAGATTGAAGTCATTCCGCCCACATGGTATTAACAAATTAAATGACTTCACCAGAATGAACGTAAATTAGACGGAATTCCTGATCATACTAAACAAAATTATTCTCTCAATTTAGTGTAAACTCTACAGTTAATTTGCGCCACCAACTCTCGAACAACCACATAACTATGTATTGCTTACGCCTTCGTTAATTATTTTTTTTCCCGATAATAAGTCCTTAAATATTTCAAAATTTATAATTGATCACAATTCATATGTTTAAATATCCCTACTATATGATTTTTCTTTCATTATTCTTTATTAAGTAAAGTTACGCCATTTTGAGAGAATGAAACAATGTACGATTTACTGATTATCGTAATTAATTAGCATAATTAATTCGTTCAATTATGTAAATCGCACTTCACCCGAGTATACCCGATAGACCGGACGCATTTCATAGCGGTCCGGATTTCTTTATTTATTAGTGTTCTTAAAAATTTCCAATTCAACATGTAATTAAATATGTAAATATCTAGTGTTTAGTAGTTTATTAGTAGTGCTAGTTGTTTTTGTTTTTCTTTTGTTCTTATGACTTTTTAACTTTTTTCTTTGTCCTGAGGAAGGGACAGGGTGTCCCGAAAATTTGACAATTTTTATTGTTCGTGTCGTTTGTCATTTTTAGTGCTTTATATATATATATATATATATATATATATATATATATATATATATATATATATATATATATATATATATGATTTTGTTCTGAACACATTTGGTATTTTTCGTATCATAAAATATGCCAGGTGTTTTGAATAGGAGTGTATCAGTTCAGCCGTATGCATTCTCCCAAATGTCTAATAAATATGGTGGCATAAAAGTTTTGGTGATGCAGTCTACTGCAGCCAAACTCATAAGAGAAGGCGTATGAAATGTACCTGTTAAAGCAATATGAGCTGCATGTTTGACATCGGAAAATGTTATTGCAAATTTGTGATTAACTAATTTAACGACAGAAAAATAAATCATTTATAAACTTTTGTTCTTCATATTTCCGATTGAAAAATTTTTATTAGCTTTGATTGAAGCAAAATTGAATTGTTGTCGTCCTGTACAATAATGATTTCTCATATAACACTGTACTTTCGATTGTACATAAATATTTCTCCAGAAACATTTTAAACTTTATTTGAGCTTATTGCTCATAAGGGTTCAAATTACATATAAATTAATCACAATAGCACATTTTACCAGCAAAATAAAATTTTCAAAGATACAGCTCATATTGCTTTAAAAGAACGTCTCAACATAAAATTGCCTATCCAATTTATTTTCATGTAAATTACATTTGAATAGCTCTTTTGAAATATTTTTTTAAGACTATACAATGTTTTACAAATAAAATCAATAAATCCAATTATTCAAGATTTTCAGTCTTCGCAATTTAATATGCTTACTACATATATAATGTTTTAGAGGTGAAAGATCACTGTAAAAACTTTATTGATGCAATGTATTTTACAGGATGCAAAACTTGCATTATGTTTAATCAGTGTATCACAATTACCTCATTTCTTCCCTCATAAAACACCGCCAAGATCTCAAATTCAGATGCACTCTTTAAACAGGATATGCAGTTTTTCAAATTGTTGCAGTTGAAAAATCGTAGTGCTGCTGCTAAAAGGTGATGTTTTTTCTTACTTTTCTCAGCACATCTACACAGGAATGCATAAAATCAAAGTTACCTTTCGTAACATTACAATCAAAATTTAAAGCTTTGATAGCGTATAGATTATAAGAAAATAGAAAATAACGATATGCAACCAAAATTAACAATAATTCACACAGTTTGAAGGTATGTGGGTTAAAAGTTAAAAAAAAATCCTCATTTTCTAGACATTTTTTCTGCTGAGATTGAGCTGATATATGACGAATGTAAGCTTATTATAATCAGAAGTGTAACTTTAGATGCTGAAGATTAACTCAATCTTTGTTCCAAAGTCTCTTTTTTTTCTGCTATCCAGACAATATGGACACCTAAGATTACATGCATGCAAATCAAAAGTTAAATCCTTTAATTTCATCCTTAGAGCTACTACTCTAGTTCATTAGTTCGTTGGTGCTTTGGATTCTTCAAACTACATGTCTTGGTTTGTTATTTTGGAAGCTAGTAGTAATAAAACTTTCTCTTTTCTGCAATCTTTTATTTTTCCAACTTGTAAATGCCAAAATTTGTCTGTGTCTGTGTTTGCGCCTCTCCTATTTTTGTAATGTTTAAATGACTTTTGAGCTCGAATACTGTTCGTTATTTCCAAACATTTCATTCCCCCCAAAAAACTCGATTGTATATCGAAGCGATTTTTCATACATAAAATATCAACTTTCGTTGAAGTGTACTTAAAAATTAAAATGCCTAGGGTAAAGGAAAATCATGTTACCTTGCTTGTTGTTGGTGATGTCTAGCACTTGCATATTCCGCTCCACGAGAATGACCAGCATTTTCATAGCATTTCGCAGCTTCGTCGAAGTGTGATTTTCTGAAAAAGTAATTTCCTCTAAGGAGCCATTCACTGCAAGCTGATGGTTGTGAAAATCCTCTGGCAGATGAGTCTAAAGAAAACAAAAAAATATCTATAATGAAAAAAAAAATTACGGGTGAACTCTTAATTTAATGCTTTCAACATCTTTTCAACACCAAATAATAACATTAATATGAGAACGTGTCTGAAAAATGTACCCACCATCTCGAATGTCAACAAGATTTCTTGCGGCAAAATACTCATACATTGGGGCCCTGCTTTCTTTGTCTTCATCAAATACCCAAACGTTTGATCTTGCTCTAGTGATAGCTGTGTATAATACTTTTAGCTCCGTGCATAAGACCTTGTGTTTTCTAGGATCGAACTCAAGGGGCCTCACTTCCGTGTTTGGAACAAGGTTACCTTAAATACATAATGAAGATTCATATGGTATAACATACAGGTATACAGTATATTTATAATAGCTTTTCCAAACAGAACTAAAATTTTCAAAACATAGATATTTCAAATACATACTGTGTTGATATTCATGGAGACCTATATGGACATTTGCCCTGTCAGAATTCCTTGACTTGCTCATTTTTTTCAGAAATTGTTTAACAACTCTCCACTCTTTAGTCGCCTGAAAAAATATACTCGTACATTGCATCACCTCTAACATTGCTTTTATTCATAGATCATATATTTTATTGCATTCTCCAAAAATTAAAAATAGTATGATTTTTATTTTGTAGACTCTATGTATATTAATATGGCTAAATTAATATATCCCTTTAAATCTGAAGCATTTTTTTTTCACAAAAACATCATGAAAAAAGCATTGAAGCATTTTCTTGAAAATGGTATTTCATTGTAACCTATATTTATTTGTTTCATTAAAATAGTTTTATTACTTTCCGTGATATGTTCTTAGCTCTCCATGATTACAAAGACTACATACGGCTACTTATGTAATTCTTTACAATAAGTACAATTATGCATTGTTTCGTTTAAATTGAATCATTGGGAAAGAGATTTTGAAATTTAAAATAAGTTTTGATAGACATTGTAATCGCTGTTTTACTTTTCTTGCTTTAACAACCGATGAAATCTTACAGAAGATTCTTTGAAGAAGTTGTAAATCAAAACGTCGTCAAATTCAAGTCCCTTCGCACGATCAATTGTCATGACGAGACATTTGTTAAATTCTGTTTGTATTTTTTCTTTAGTTTCTTCACTAGCAACAAGGATGACTTGATGTGCCCCAAGTTCAATGCTAGAGGTTTTTCGTTTGTTACCAGCGAGCAATAATATCAAATCCCTGCATTAAAAGAAAGCATATATGCATTCATATAAAACAAAGAATTTAAAAATAAATGATAATGTTTGCTACTGTTAACATCCACTCAAAATTGATCCAAAACACATGTATTAATTGCACTGAGAATAAGGCAAATGAATTTTAAATTATTTTGAAATAACTAAAGAAAGTCGTTGTAGATGAAAATTAACACACACACACACACCCTCTCTCTCTCTCTCTCACACACACACACACACCCACACACATACACACACACACACACACACACAGAGAGAGAGAGAGAGAGAGAGAGAGAGAGAGAGAGAGAGAGAGAGAGAGAGAGAGAGAGAGAGATTCATATAACATTTATTTCCAAATATTTACAATTTAAAATTCTTTGTCCTAGCGAAAGCTACAAATAGTAAAAATACATAGAGGACCTTTTAGAAGACGGGGTTGGGACAAATAGAGAAAGAAGCGGGACATGTAGCTCGTGAATTTGCAGAATTAAGAGCATGAAAGACTTTATGTTAAATGGCAATGATAAATCGATTGACTTGAGTGAAAATTATACGCATAAACACCTTCAGCGTTTTTGCAAATTATCACGAAAGCCAATTGATTGTTAACATCAGTAACCAAAATATTAGACAGTTATTCCTTAACTCACTTACTTTGAATCACTCTGCTTTAAAATAACAGGTTTTGGACCATCTATCATTCCAACATCTCTCTCCAAGTGGTCGTATGATTCCGGAAAGAATTCTTTTAATATCTCAAGAATACCTGATGCTAGATTCAATATTCCAGCATGTGACCGATAGTTATGGGTAAGATGGAAAAGCTGTTAATGGATATTATATTGCAATTAAAAAAAATTAATAAAAACAGAAATGGAAGACTTTCAAAATACAATCGAATATTTAATGAATTATAGAAAGCTAGTTTTTTAAAACCTTCTCGGGAACATTAATGTTTCTTTCACTAATTTCCCTTATCTGATGAAAAAGGGATCGAAGATCCTCAAATCTAAATGATATTCCACGCATTATGCATTGGGCAGTATCCCCGGTTAGGAAAAGCCCTTTAGGAGTTTGGCAGAGTCTGACCAGGATACAAAGTTCTGCTTGTGTGAAATCTTGTGTTTCGTCCACATATATCTCATGAGCTAGAAGGTCCGGGATTTCGTGTATTGTCACTCTAGAAAAAAGAGCAAAAAAGACTTTAATGTCGACATGTGTTTACGTAAACATTAATAAAAGATCAAACAGTATTATCAAAATCTTACTGTTGTACATACAAACCTTTGAAAAATGTTGCGAGCAACATCAGCTTCATCTATGTAAAACAACTGTTTCTTGGCCCTTTCGTATATCAGAAACATTTCATAAATTTTTTCTCTGTCATTCGTGAAAACAGGAGCCATTTTCTTTCCCAACTCCTTATACTGTTTCAGATCCAAGTATCCGGTCGGGGACAACAAAGCCTGAAATGATCCTTTAATAAAAGACATAATTTCTGTCCAAACCAGGGATTGGTGACACTCTGATTTTTTCCCTTTAATCTTATTCCAAAATAATTCCTCGAATACTTCATAAGTCAGAAGCTTTCTTGAAAATGCATCTCTTGGTTTTCGTCCAGACTTTAAATTTGAACATCTGCTTGTATCGCTTTCTTCTCTCACTTCCTCGTCATTTGCCAATTCGTCTTCTAAAAGGTCTTCTATGTCTAAATCAGTGTCCCGAAACTTCGAGAGATCGCCATTATTTAAAGAATCAGCCCAACCCTGTATATCCATCTATAAGATAGGAGAAATGTACAAGAAATCACGTTATGATGATTTTGTTCTACAATGTGATCAATTTATAAATTAAAAAAATCACTTTCAATTGATTAAAAAGAAAATTTTCATGGAATTGAAAACAAATGTGCTAAATTTGTCTCATTTAAAAATTTTTACTTAATCACATATTTTAATTGATAAAAAGAGGTCATTTCCCAGGGAAAGTAAGAAATATATATATATATATATATATATATATATATATATATATATATATATATATATATATATATATCTATAAAATTGAACATACGGTCATATCATCTTTTGCTAAATAGAATGGACACCCTAGAGATATGTCCAGCACTTTTAACAGTTGTTTGAAAGTTAAAAATAATGGATACTGGTAGTCTTCAACATCTTGAAGCCTTTGTGGAAGGTCTTGTTGTCTTGGTGAACACGAACCTCTCCATGCTCTACACGCTTGCTTCATATCTAGAAAATTTTTTTTGACTTCTTGGCAAAGCACAGGATTTTTAGTAACAAATAATTGCCGTAAATGCCTCTCAGGACTTGATTCTGAGTTATCACTGACTGCCCTATCTTCGTATTTATTTTCTTTTCCATCTATCAAAAATAATCATAATTTCCCCTTAATAGTTTTTCACAATTGAATTTTCATTCTAATTACTTTAAATAAGAAAACTTACCATTTGATAGCGTATTTTTTGTAGAAGTATCTTGATCAGATTTCAAATGCGCAATATATGTCCAATACTCCTCAAATTTCTTCCAAAGTCTGTATAAACAGCAGGTCGTTTTTCCCGTCCCACTCCTTCCAACCAACAGAATCGGAGCTTCAGTTTCCATATTTATGATTGCATGCTCAAGTTCAGTCACTTTGAATGGGAAATCTATTTCAGAAGGTAGATTTTCTATCATGTGAGAGACGACATCAGGCGAAAAGGGATAAAATTTCATAATGTTGAATTCATGTTCATTTGGACTCAAAGGTAAACAAACATTCTCAAAATCTACTTCCAGCCCTTCAGGTTCTGATCTAGCATGAAGTACGTTTGGAATACACTGAAATATCCTTGGTGTTTCTAAAGAACAAGACTGAATAGCACCATGCAAGGCTTCTTTTCTTACACGAGTATGAAGTAGTTGTGATTGTTTGCTTTTCGAATAGGACTTTAGTATGTTTTTAATACACCGATGCAAATTGTCATGATCTAAAACAATGTCCCATATTCTGATAACTTCTGAGATAAAAACATTGCCCTCAAAAGGGGTACCTGGATGGTTTATTCTTGGTGAAAACGTTATTGCTATCTCCCAGATTATTCTTATGGCTTTGTCGAGTTTAATTTCGAACAAGACTCTTCCATTCGAATCTTCGACCTTTAACCTTTTACACAAATTCCTTCTCCGAGTTCTTTGATACATTGAACAGCTTTTTGTCTAATTTTCAGTGGGATCTTTTGTCGAGTCATTTTTTTAAGAAACGATGGTGAACATTCGATTTCCCAAAGTAAATGTTTGAATTCTTTTACGTCGAATCCAATCTGTGTGATAAATACGAGATATTTTGAGTAATTCTATTATATTTTAAACATTGAAAAAAAGACGATTAAAGCATTCAAACAAATTATATACTAAAGGACTATATATGGTAAGAGCAAATTTTGGCCCCCTAAAAATTCACATTTTAGAATGATATTCAGATATGTTTAATTGATATTTATTTTGTAAAGAGATTATATTAAAAATATTTCAATATTTTACACATTATGCATACTGGCTGTAAATTTAATGCTATTTTTGTCATCTAACAAAAAAGCCAAAAATATGCCTTTTTCTTGTCGTTTTTTCTTATGGGAAACATAATTTTGAAATACATAATTAGTATTGCATATTGCAAAAATATAAAGTTTGTTCTAGATATATTTTCTGCTTTGAAAATAAGTAGTTTAATACAAAATATGCTAAAATGGCGGGAAAACGTGACATTTATGATGTCATATTTCCAAAATAATGGCATTTTGATGAAACTAAAAATGACCAATAAAGGTCGCATGTATAGCTGTACAAATTAAAGCTACATATAAAGTAAAATTAAGATATTCATTTTAAGGGGCCATTTGAGACACTTATCATATATTGCTCTTTAAATCCAAACAAAATGACCGTAATTTTGAACTACATGTAATGTTGCATAAAAGGATAAATGCATTATACACATACACAATTTAGTTTTTAACTTTATTTTCTAATTTTCTATATAATATAAGAGTTCCAATAAATTAAAAATGTGAATTTCATCCTTAGAGCTACTATTCTAGTATGCAGATTTGTTGTTTTTTAAGCTAGTCGTAGAAATATTTTCTCTTCTTGCAATCTTTTGTTTTTCCTTCCTGGCTGGCAATATGCCAAAATATATTAATTTTTAATAAGGCATTCATCTAAAATGTTAAAAGCTATAAGACCTTCACAGTCAAGAGTTATGAGCCTGGTTAATTGTTTTTCGGACAAACAAACAGATGAACAGACAAACAGGCAGCCGACCGGGCAAACGGAGAAGGTTAAGGTAGAACCTATGTCGGAAAAGTCTTTTTCACAGGATTTTCAAACTTTTCAAAATGATAAATTATGCTTGCTTATCAATCAGTTAAAAGCTCATGATATGTTTTCTTGTTTTTAAATCTAGTACAGCCTGTGAAACTTGGTATGGTAATTACATACTGCGACTACAAATTTTTAGGGGTTATTGTCAAAAAGAGAAAATGAAAAATTACAAAAATACCTCTTCAAACATCGTCGTATATAGACATTATTAACTGAACAATATATTGATCAATATTTCTCAAGAATAATTTCTTTTTTATTCAATTGACATAAAACATAAGTCCACATATTTAAAAAAAAATGGCAAATAAAGTCTATCTTTTTAAGGTCATTTTTCCAGTCTACATTTGTAAATATTTTCAGAAGTCTTTGTCACAATGTTTCCAATATTTTATATGATAATGAAAATCCCAAAATGATAACAAAAAGTGATTAAAATATATACTTTTCGCCTCTAACTAATGAGAGAAGGTCATTTACCGATGCTAATTTTCTAGACCTTTTTGCACTTACATGGGATTTAATTTATAAATTGTCTATTTAACTTCACATTAAATATGTTTACAAAAATTTGTAATTTTGATTTAAAAATATATTTGAAAGAAAAATTCTAATCAAACCCAAGAATATGAAAAATTAACAAATAATTATGAAAAGTTATGCACATCAATTTATGATAGATACATATATCACAAAAATGTACAAACGATCGCACGATCTACAACACTACATCTTTGACTTAGACACTTTTTATCAATATGTTACACTATTTAGTTGGCTACTGAAGGTTTCTTAAGATTTTTGCATTCCTTCAAAATGGCTACCTACCATTTACATTATTACAGTAAGCTGTATACACGTACATTGTAATTTCATGACTTAATTACTTAAGGTCAAGATCTAGTAAATGGATGGTACCTACAGGTTTATGTAATTTCAGAAATATATTGTCATTAAGCATTATAATAAAAAAATATTTAAATTGAATTAATTTATTTTGGCATGAATTTTAAAATGCAGCTTTCTACCATTTTTTTTATTGAATCTGTAATGTACGGAAAAAAGTGATATTGAATTAATTATGATGTCACAATGGATCAAACACAGGCTAGACACATCCACTAATTAATGTGTCATAAGGTTCTACTTAAGGAATGAATTTAATAGCTACCTATTTTATATGGTATAAACTGGGTTGAGGCAGTTTACGCTTTATAAACCGCGAAGCGGTTTATAAAAATGCGTAAACTGTTTTTCTACCATTTTTACTTAAATTCATTGCTTATAATTTAATTTTCACTCATTTGATGTAAGAAAAAAAGATGATTGTTCTAATAAAATGACTTAAGTTTGTATAAAATTTGAATGTAACGTCAGGCAGATTGATACGTTTTTGACGTAAGTCATTGTGACGTAGGCAACCCATTTTATACGATATGAAGAAAATTTTTTAATCCAATCAAATACAGCGTTACAACCAGAATTAAATTATATTGAATTAAATACTCCCGAATCTTTGATTACGGGGAATAAAAATCTGATTCCCAGTGTGTACATCTATATACTATGCTAAATATTGCACTGTACCTTAAACTGGTAATGGTCAAAAGCTTTCTTCTGAGAAACCTTTTCATGCTGTTTGAAAAAAACCAATAACTTTAAACAATAATATTTTTACACTTTTGGTATCATATGAAATTGATTGAATTTTTCTCAGTGTATAAGTGATACTATCCTCTTATTATGCACTGTACCTCATTCTGATTTTGGTCCAAGACTTTTTTCTGAGAAACATGTTCAGTCTGCAGAACGTTGCAAAAAGACCAATTACAATATTTATATAATCTTTCACATACATGTATTTTCAATCACCAATCTTCCAAAACGTTTTCCACAAAATATGCTCATTTAGATATCAATGTACATCAATTGCATTAATTTTTATAAATTTATCCCCATTTTGATTAATATCAATAATTGCAGGTTACAGCAATTTTTCACATTGTCTTTTGAAATAACAGGTTATCATTTCAGATTCATATCGTAATTGATTGATTAATGTTTTTCAATCTTTAAATATGCTTCATTTTAAACGAAAACTAGGCGCTTTGCCTAGACAGTATAGTCGGTTTTACTGGTGGGTATAAAATTTGGCAAATGAACTCCTCAAAGGTGTGACAATAATGTCGGCGAAATTTATTCTAGTGGACACAAGGTTTTTAGATCTTTAAGGATGGAGATTTATTAATAGAGAAGCATTGACTATATATTGTGGCGATTTTAATATCAAAAGCCAAAATTAGCACCCCGTTAAATAGCCCGCTATACGGTATTAAAAACTATTATGTTTAGAATATAAAATGACTTGTGGAATAACTATTTTGACAAATGTACCTCTGAATGCTTTTGCTCCCCTGTGCAACACATTGATTTCTTTCGTGATGAGCGTTTTTCATAAAATGTTGATATGGAATCTTTTATTTGTTCCTTGAGCTTCTCTATTTTTTCTTCGACAGTTGGTTCCATCTTCCAAAAAATCTATTAAAAAAAAAACAAACACACACACAAAACGCTGAACAATTTTGAATAGGATACATTTTAATAGCTTCAATATCGTTGAATGAGAAGTTCTTGATTTTTTAAACTATAATAAAAATCTATAGTCCCAATTTCTCAAAGAATTTGATTTTGTAAAATTATAACAAGATTCATTGTTCTATTATTATTTTGAGAATCTGAAAAGAAGATATTTTCACACGCCACCATTCCGCCAAAAATATAATCCCTGCTAGATTTCAAACTCAGTTTTCAATATCTATTTAAAGTTGTACAATTCTTATGAGAAAAGAAAATACCCAAAATACCGCTTAGCAGGTTTTCGGTGTGTTTCAATTTCGTTTGCTACGATTTCCGAATCGTGGAAAATAAATAAGAGTAAATTTCATACAGAGTTTGTTTTTGCAATAGAGTTATCTCTCTTTGCTTACAAATCAAGCAGACAAGTAAATTTTATGCAAATGTAAGTATGCATCGGACATATACCTTGCTTCGGACAACTTTAAGCAATAAATCTCTTTCTGTGTATTTATCTGTTTCTGTCATAAAGATGAAGATATAAATTTTTTAATGAGACCGATTGTGTTTATCATGTTGTGATTAAAATACTACGCAAATGGCCTTGAAGCTACGTCAAATTTTACATCATCAAAGGGGAATTGCCCGAATTTTTTAAGAGTAATCGTTCTTTTAAATTCGACTTCCACGGAACGAGTCGGACTTTGGTAAATTTTGTCAAGGATTGGTAATTTTACATAAATTATAAAGAACTTTAACTTTAATCTTTGTTTAATGCTTATACTAGTATGCTAATTTCACCGTACATCGGACACAAACTAACCATGCATCGGACACTTTTCGATGCAAAGGTAAGCACTACCATTTTCATACAGAACCCAGCTGACAGCTGTTTTTTGTTGAAAAAGAAAATAAAAACTCTATATTTTCAGTCAAAATACAAGTTACCGATATATGACGTCTGGAATTTTACTCAATTTATTTCTACAAACCAGAGTATGCTAAACCATGAGAAAAAGGCGCAACTTACGGCATTATAAGCATTTTAAAGCATTTCTAAGGCAGAGGGGGGGGGTCTCTAGAATCGTTCTTTATTGGTGCAATAATATCGTCGATTAAATAAAAGTTGAGGATTATTTCTTAGATAAAAGATGAAAATAGATCCATATCAAGAATTTTGAAGCACTGTGATAAAGGTATGATATTTTTCCGCTCTCCATACTGTCTGTCCGATGCATGGCGAACAATGTCCGATCCATGGTGAATTTCAGTTTTTCATAAAAGCTCGATTTTTAGGGATATTTCTCAATAAATGGCATATAATTTATCCTAAATTGTTATTTTTATCACAAACTGTTTAACTCCATTTTGATAATTTCCGTCGATAGGGATACCGCTAGAACTTGTTGAAGTACAAGGGTGTCCGATTCATGGTGAATTGTGTACTTTAAGCTTGTTACAATCCTATATAAAGAAACCCGAGTCGAGAAAATAAGGCCTTGTTTTAGATGTCTATTCTTTAAACATCAAGTACGTAATAAGAATTTTTCACTGAAGAATTTACAGAAGTCACCCCTGAGGTAGAAAATCTACTCCAAACCGACGGGGAAATTATGTGACGTATTTTCCTGAACAATGTTATGAAATTGATCTTTTAAATCTTTCAACTCAAAATACATGAGATATAAGCAGATACTGTAGAAGTGGAAAACATTACGATGTTTTTAATTTCACTATGTTCACGATTTAAGAATTTTCCGCGAATTTTAAACCATCGTGATTATTATTTCACGTCATTTCTACCTATACACAGTCATAGTACCTGAATATTTACAAACCATTCTCCGTGAAATTTAAACCACCGTGAAAGGTAACTTTCTAGCAAACCGTGAAATTTTAGACCCGTGAAATTAAAGACGTCTACAGTATACAGTGAATATATCGTCTTACCCCAGACAATAATCTCTCGTTAAGATTGACAATTTTTCAACTTTTTATACATTTATAACCCGAGATATTTCTTCAAACAATGTTTAGCTTACGAATACGGCAGCACTTTCTTTAAAGCTGAACACTATTCGTAAAAGTAATGTGTCCGCCATTTTTGCTCCGGATTCTCTCCACTCTGCAGACCCCTATATAAAGGTCAAAACTTGTTCATTGTTCAGTGTAATCAGTTGACACCAGTGTAGACAGACGTATGCTACACAGCACTCAGTAGCGAGAATTATAACGTAATACTTCGTCTAATGCAAGAAGGTAAGATACCAAATAAAGTAAGAATTATAGTTGTACAGGTCAGTGCAGTATACAAAAACACAGGTACACATAACTGCAATAAAATGTAAACTTAGGTAATGCAAGATAACCAGCACAAACACGGGTCACCATTTCACGCCGATACCCGCGACAATAACGCAGCCAGGTGTGACGAATGCGACGAGTATACCATGCTGTTGAAGTATCGTAGATAATGATATCGAAAATGGCGCATGCCTATTTACGAGTCGTGTTCAGTTTTAAGTATCCATTAATGATTGCATGGGTTCAATCAATCAATATTCAATTTTATATACAGTCTATTTTAAAGTATTTACAGCTTAGTGATGTTCTGAAGCATTAAATGCGTGATCATTATGGATATCAGAAAATTTAAATTTGATTATGATCATTTCTTTCAATCACCAGTATAGATTAAAACCATATTTTCCATAAAAAAATTTGATTCGTTTAAATAAACCTATATATACCTTACGCATTTCCTCATGTTTACATTGTACATAATCTCTCGGTGGTTTTCCTTCGTTGTTCCGACATGATACAGACACATGCAGACCATTCAGAAGTTTTGCCAATTTATGAGCCTGGGGGCAGCTTTCTGATTTCGCAACAAGATGAAAAAGATTGTCTCCGTTAGCATCTGTTTGATGTGGATCTAGAAAGCTATATAGTATTGGATTTCCTCTGTACCTGACAACGAAATCTTGAAAAATGGTACCTATAAAAATTTTTAAAAAAAGGTATAAGGAATAAAATCTAAATGCATAGAAAATAAAGCATAAAAAAGAAATAAAACAAGTAAAACGTCTTCTCTTAAATTATATTACATATATTAAGTGACTCAAAGTATATTTTAAGTCAAATTGATATAACAATTGAATTCAGGTGCAAGTATATATAATTAATAACGAAAGCTGTATATGATTACATGTACATTGTACATGAATGTCTTAAAAATTGACTTATCCTTGCACTTTCACAATTTTGATTTTATCCTTAATACTAAGAAAAAGTGGCTTTCTTGAGTATTAATGAAAAATATTAATTTATTACTCTCATTTTCATATAGTAGTCTTATAAAAAATGATACAAAATCTAGACCGTTTAAAAAGCTAAAACATAATTGAAGTTATTTGTAAATCTTCTTTATTTGATAATTCTAAAATCTTTAATCCCTTATTTATAATTTTATTTACATTTTTAAATGACCTTGAGTATTAGATTATGTAAAATATTTAACTTTATTCATTGTGTTGTTATTGGAATTTTGAAAACCAGAAAAGGAGATATGTTCATACGCCACCATTTTGCCAAAAATATAGTCTCTGTTTGATTTCAATTCTATTCTATTTTAAGTGGTACAGTTGTGACGAGGAAAGAACTAATTTATGATCTTCTAAATCTCTTGCATCGCATCTAAATATCTAAGCCATTTAAGTTATTATATTTGAATATTTCATCGAGACAGAAACCCGACAAGAATCATTCCTTAAAACAATAAACTTATTATTATTATTCAGTTCTACCTCCACATTTACATTTTCAAAGAAGTTAAATCAGTATTATTTACAATATCGAAAGGATATTATAGCAGTTATGATGTACTTACTGCTCTCGTTGTTTAGATACATGTTTGCAGCAACATGCATAGGTGTATCTCCGTGTCTAAGACTCAGGTATTTTGGGTTAACATGGCTTTGAAACAGCAACCTTAAAACTTTAAAATGTGATTGCTCAATTGCTGACTTTACCAATTCTTCGTCATCTTCGTCATGGAAAAAAATTAGATAACAATTATAAAATGAAATATTACATATTTTTTATTACTGTGTTTATCTTTGCAGTGTGAGGTAAATGTGTTTTAATCACCATAAGAACAACAACTTTTTATGAAGGATAATGAAAATAAGACGAAGATAACAAACAGCGATCGCTCTTAGAAATTCATTAACAATTTAAATAAGTGAGGAGGGCATATGAACACAGACCTTCTGTATATTCCAATATTTCTACTCAGGTGCCTATGAGCAGTAAGCATTCCTTTTATGACTGATCACACCTGCGATACGTGATCCGTATATATTGATTATGTAGCTCATGAAGTAAAATGCAGTACAAAAACAATAATTTGGTACCATTGATTTACTGAATATTGTTTTACGTCCCACTCGAATTGATCACTTATATGGAGACGCCACCATTTTCCGGTGGAGAGTTGCAACTTTTGTCCTATACTTGGCACTCAGGGCCATTTGTTTAACATTAAATTATAAAAAGCGGAATATTAATATTTTTGCCTTCATATCAATCTCTAACTGCTACTTAAGTGCTATTTCTTACCATATTTGAAAACCAAACACAATTTAATTTGAGCGAATGTGAACTGTAAAAACTTGATCAATACCTTCATTGATGATATTTTCTCCATCCGGAAGATGTTCAAATATTTTGCATAATTTTTCTTCACTCTCTGTAGTGTTCGTCATTGTTGCAATTAAACTTTGTCTAAGAAACCTTTGAAATGATTTGACATTGCCTTTGCTAATACACAATACTACAGCATCGTGCATGACCTCCCACATTTCCATTTGGATTAGCTTTTGGAGGAATCTGTTGTAAAGTTTTTCATCTATCTTGACTAAGGATATCGGAATTTCTATTGGAATAAAGTAAATCAATTAAGTCAAGAAGCATTGACAAAACTTGCAACAAAAACAATTATTATCAGAACAGATGATTTCCTCTTTTTTGACATTCTCTTGTGAATGAAATTCAATTTTTCATTAATATTAGACTAAAACGAAACATCTGATGAAATTATTCCAACTTTGAAAAGAATTTCTGAAACGTATTATTTGTTGTTAAATTGTAAAACGATATTTCTTATTGAGTAAGATTGTAAGGTACTTTAACATTTGTCAGTGTCTTTCCTCATACGGCAATATAGTTAATATTACGATTTATTTTCAATGACATGCAGCTATTCGCATTATCAGACGTTCAAACCACACGGAATATAGTAATGTTTGGATTATGACGTTGTACAAGTTATCCATGTATGATATGTTGCGTATCATTAACAAATTAGTAAAAAGTGCATTTTGTAACATAATTTAAGTAAAAATATAAATATCATTAGTTAGAGTTTCTATGGAATATGACATGAAATTATACAAGATTTGATCACGCCACCAACTTCATGCCATACCAATTTTGAAACTAAATATTACCACTGATGGCTGAGCTACAAATAGTTTCTGCCACAAGTGATACGCATTCGTCCAAAACTTCTCTGTGTGTTGAAGAAGTATGGTGTTCCTGAAGGACATTTATTAGGATATTGATGTCACCCTCCACATTTTGATCCCTTCTCAATCTTATCCTGTCAACAACAGACCTGCACTTGCAATTTTCGCATGACTCGGTCATCATTGTTTCATTTTCGTTCTGTTGAAACACGACAGGTACTCGAATACTGAAAATAATGTCAAAATGTACATTTAGGGAATATTTAAATTACTTTTACACACAATGAAAATGTAATAGATTTTCTCTAAAAGATTATGTAGTATATAAAATTATAAACACAATGTGTATATGCCAAAAGAAATGTTATTTTCATACGGAGTATATCTCACTTATGGTCGCGACGCAAGAGAGTGTATTTAGCGTATGAACAATTTCTGAAACGATGTAAATTATTGACAAGCAAGTTGATGAATCAAGAATATCAGCAGTCTCGTTTAAAGTCATCATTTCGTAAGTTTTATAGTCGATGTAAAGATATTATTTATTTTGAATCAAATTAAATTTAATCAAACCAATTTAATGATCGTTGTTTTGCAGATGCTTGAATCTTCATTACTTTTCAATGGAAACATAGCCCCATTACGGTGATTATTTTTAATGTAGCAATTTCTCTCTCTCTTTTTCATCATTTTATAATTCTGAATTCCTTTTGCCATCTGATTCCTGACAGATATACTGTAACTATGGTTATATCTTAAACCAGTATAACTTACCATAAATATGAGTCGATCAAACCGTTTCAATATCAATAAGCCCATTTTTCTTTTGCCTTGGGCTTAATAGCTGACTATACCATAGTTACACGCAAGTGTTATAAATACTTTGATTTATATCTTATGAAATTTCTGGCACTTTGTTTGTCTTAATATCGTATTCATACATTATTCAAATAGATATTTTAAAATATCTATATATCTACTGATTTTTTATTACTTTGTCTAAGGCAGTAAATATGTATCAATAAGAAGTGATTTATTTTATTTTACAGCAAGACACATTTTGTGTAGTTTCACTTCTATTAGCACTCAGTGTGCTAAGTACAAGTTCTTGTAAACTTTTTTCGTATGTTTTTGAAATTGCTTTTATCAAGCGACACCAGATAATATTACCTCTTTGGTTCCCTCATTTTTGTTTTTTTAAACTTCGTCGATTCTCCCTTTGCCTTAAATTCCTTGTGGTTAACTCTGGTTGCCCTTTCTGTTTGAAGTACAAACATATGTACAATTGTATTTAACAATGCTCTATTGATAATTAAAGAATATCAGTTCTGTAATTTTTAAAGCTTGTGTAATTTTAGATCAGTTAAATGTACGACTTAAAATCGATTATAAAAGTAGAATGTTAAAGCAATAACTGTTGCTGGTGTATTACTTTCAAGACCTGTAATTTTCTTGCAGAGTAGGGCATTTGACATCGGAACATATTCCCGAGCTGTTTTGCCTTCGTCATTCTTTTGCAAAAGATTGGCACCATTTTCTAAAAGCTTCTGTACTATATTAAGTGTTACAGAATTTGATTTTATGTTTCTAGTCATTAACTGCATTGCAAGATGCAGGGGTGTATTTCCCTTTGAGTCAACTACATTTTCCTCGTTGCAGGCTCTGGCCTTTTCTAATACTAGTTCCAGCAGATTTGTGTTTTCTGAAAAAAAAAATATGTTGATAAATTTATTATTGATAACGTTTTCTTGAACTAATGATGAGAGTATAAATCTGCATTTATAAAAAGTGTCAATAAATGATTAAGAAGACATTTAATCAGTTCATTCTTACCTGTAACTGAGGCTATTCTAACACAAGCGTGTAAGTATGTTTCCTTCGTCTTTAAAATTATTTGACGAAAATCAGCAAGATTATCAGCCACCAAAATTTTCATAAAATATGTAAGCCAGGGATGTTCGGAAATAATCTTGATATTGCAAAGCTGTTGTAAGTCCAACATTTCAGAAACAGTCTGATCCTTGAGCAAAGTCAATCCAGCAGAAAATTTGTGAAAGAATACAGACGCGGCGTCCAATTCTGTTTTAATGACGAGTTGGAAAACAATGGAGCATTTTAGTCTTGCTGGAAGTTTTTTCAAAACTTTAAAAGTGGCTTTGTCTCCTAAATACCAAACAAAAATATCAATCAAATGTATAAGGCACACCCTAACAAAAAAAATATTGTAGTTAACTGTAGTTTACCAGAGTCAACCATAGTTATAACTTTGATACTTTGATTTGCTATGAAACCTTACTAAGTAAGTTAGTAAATCGTTTATAATAGTGATATATGTTATAATACAATACAATGAGAAACATATGTCACTATTAACAAAAATAAATGAAAATAGATGTAAGACTCCAAAGTGCGACGGGACTCCAAAGTCCGATGGTCACGCCAAAGTCCGATGGTCTACGCCAGACCCCGATGGTTTGACACGCCAAACCCCGATGGTGCTGAAAACAATTTACGTTTATGACGTCATAATACTAATGCGGCAAACTATAATGTCGCACCATGCCAAAACTTTAAATAAGCATTAATAAATACGAGGGTTGATCGAAAAGTAATGTCTCAACTTTGATAAAATTGCTATAAATCAACGTAAAGCAAAAAAATTTACACGATGGAAGCTTTATTTATTTCAAATCAGTCCTTAAAAATACAAAGAAATATGATGTATACTTTCCAAAATATCGGATTTTTTTTAAAAAAAAAAATGTTCGTTTATGGTAGTCGCCGCACCTAAATATAACGTCATATGAGGGAGATGCACCGTCATACTTTTAAGCGTTTCCCCATTGTTTTGTTAAAAAATATCGGTGATTTGCAAACACTTTCATTAGTTCCACTTTCTTTAAGAGTTCTTGGTACCATTATACACTCACTCGTTTCATAATTAAGCCCTCTGTCAATAATTTTGAACAGTAGCAAAGACAAACTATGCATGTGACTCTTAACGTCTGTGTTTTTTTAACGTCAGACACCATTTAACATTTCCGTCCGATCAAAACAAGAAGCCCAGGGGCCACATCGCTCACCTGAGCAATTGGCTACGTAAAAGCACATATCAGATCAGAACTGAAAGTTTACTGAGGGGGGGGGGGGGGGCTTGAATTTTAACCCCCAGAGGGTCATGATATGAACAAACTTGAACCTTCACTACCTAAGGATGATTCCCTATAAATATCACTAAGCATGGCTTTGAAGAACTTGAAAGAAGATTTTAAAAGGCTTCCCTATATATTCCTATGTAAAACTTTTATTGGCCGTTTGCCCCACCCTACCCCTGGGGGTCATGTTGTGAACAAACTTGAATCTACACTACCTGGGCATGATTCCAAAGGAGTTTCATCTTTCCAGTCTCAATCGTTCTTGAGAAGATTTTTCCTATATATTTCTATGTAAAACTTTGATCGGCCATTTTGGCTCCATTCTACACCCGGGAGTCATGATTTGAACAAACTTGAATCTACACTACCTGAGGATGATTCCACATAACTTTCATCTTTCCTGGCCCAGTGGTTCTTGAGAAGAAAATTTTTAAAGATTTTTCCTATGTATATTCCTATGTTAAACTTTGATCGGCCATTTTGGACCCACCCTACCCCCGGGGGTCATGATTTGAACAAACTTAAATCTTCACTACCTAATGATGATTCCACATGAGTTTCATCTTTCCTAGCCTAGTGGTTCTTGAGAAGAAGATTTTTTTTAAATGCCATTAATTTTTCTCTAATTCCTAATTATCTCCCCTTGGAAAGGGCGTGGCCCTTCATTTGAACAAACTTGAATCTCCTTTACCCAAGGATACTTTGTAGCAAGTTTGGTTGAAATTGGCCCAGTGGTTCTTGAGAAGATGAAAATGTGAAAAGTTTACAACAACGACGACGACAACGACGACGACGACGACAGACAACGGACAAATTTTGTTCAGAAAAGCTCATTTGAGCCTTTGGCTCAGGTGAGCTAAAAAGACAGACGTATAGAGTGACATGCATATGTGAATTTCTAAGTTTTTTGCTTCTGTTCAAAATTTTTAACAAAGGGCTGAATTAAGAAACGAGTGAGTGTATAATGGTACCATGAACTCTTAAAGAAAGTGAAAGTGGTAAAAGTGTTTGCGAATCACAAATATTTTTAATAAACTGAAGGGGAAACACTCAAAAGAATGACTGTGCATATCCGTCATATGACGTTTTATTTAGGTACGGCGACTACCACAAACGCACATTGTTTAACATTCGATATTTTGGTAAGTATACATCATATTCCTTTGAATTTTTCAGTCTGATTTAAAATAAATAAAGCTTCCATTATTTAAAATGTTGCTTTACGTTGATTTATAGCAATTTTATCAAAGTTGTGACATTACTTTTGGATCAACCCTCGTATATATTTATGTCTGTTCTTATTCAAAATTTGTTTTAATGATTGAAAACGATTCCTATTACGTCCGTAAAGACATTTTGACCACAAATTACACAGGGGGTCAGTAAATAGAAAACTAACAAGAGGCCCATGGGCCACATCGCTCACGTGAGAAGCTTTGACCATTCTGTTTTTACCAGATTTCCCACTTGTAATACATAATGCATCCCCAACCTATCCCACTGATCATAATTTAGACATTTTGAAATCTACACTAACCAAGGATCCTTCCATGTACATATAAGATTAAGCTTTTCTGGCCCAATGGTTCTTGAGAAAAAGATTTACAAAGTTTTTTCATATATATTTCTATGTAAAACTATGTTTCCTCATTGTGGCCCCGCCCTTCCCCCGGGGGTCATCATTTGAACAATTTAGAATCTACACTATACCAGGATGCTTCCACATAAGTTTCAGTTTTTCTGGCCCAGTGGTTCTTCAGAAGAAGATTTTCAAACAATTTTTCTTATATATTTCTATGTATAACTTTGATGCCCCATTGTGGCCCCGCCCTTCCCCCGGGGGTCATCATTTGAACAATTTAGAATCTACACTATACCAGGATGCTTTCACATAGGATTCAGCTTTTCTAGGCCAGTGGTTCTTGAGAAGAAGATTTTCGAAGATTTTCCCAATATATTTCTATGTAAAACTATGTTTCCCCATTGTGGCCTCGCCCTTCCCCCGGGGGTCATGATTTGAACAATTTAGAATGCTTCCACATAAGTTTCAGCTTTTGTGGCCCAGTGGTAAAGAAGAAGATTTTTTAATGAAACCCTATTTTTGTCTTTTCTAAATGATCTCCCCTTGTGAAGGATATACCCTATATAAAAATTTAAATTTCATTTACCCAAGGATGCTTTGTATCAAGTTTGGTAAAAATATATTTTAGTGGTTTTTAGAAAATTTGTTTGTGAAAATTAAAAACAGACCAGACGGACATACAGAAAATTTTGACAAAATGTTTAATCAGAAAAGCTCACTTGAGCCTTCGGCTCAGGTGAGCTAAAAATGTGGCAGTTAGACTTATGTAAATATGAGAAGCAATGATAAAATAAATAAAAAAAATAATACTACATGTATATAATTTAAAAAAATAAATTCAATGATTTCCATTAATTAGCATAACAAGAATCACGGAGAAAAAGTAATACCTTTCGTGATTTCTAGATATTTTGGACATGCTTTAGCGATGTGGCTAATGATATTTTGTTCGAGCTTTAAGTTGTCATCCTGCAACCGAAGTAAAGCGCTAACAAATGAAGCAATGGCTTCAATCCAATTACACAGCCCAGCATGTGATCGACCAAGTAAATACAGAAACTACAAAAAAATGTGCACTGTTCATTTAAAAATTCAATATTGATTTAAAAAAACATTTTGGAAATTGAAAAGATACTAACAGATTAATGATGTATTTTTGTTAAACATACCCTAGATGATTCATCAGCAATATCAAATCTTTGTAAAGCATTCTCAAGTGCAGATTTAAAGTTTCCCTTCCTGAGTTGGCATTCTAAAATCGAACATTGGACGTTATGCAGAGTTGCCTGATTGATCTCGCCATTTGAGAATTCTTTATGTAAAAGTTCTTTGGCTTTCAAAAACATCTCTAAAGCCTTGTTTAATGCATTTCGGTCTAAATATTCATTTCCCTGTTTGAGTAAATTATCAAATTCATCCATTGCTGTAGTACTCTGTACATCGTCATTTTCAATGGTGTTTGAGCTGCCTTCATCTGAAATTATCGCACAATATAATTTAAAACATAGAAATTTGATCAATTATTTTAAGCTTAAATTAATAAACTAATTAAAATGTTTTAAATATATACCTGGTGTTATTTTTGCTTTCATTAAAACGGAATAATAAGCATCATTTGGGGAAACATAATCTATCGGTAGTTTCCCATTCCCATCTGGAAGCTTTGAGGGACATCCGTTTTCAAGTAAATAATTCAAAATATTGACCATACGTTTTTCTCCTTTTACTGGATTTTTAACAAGGATGTGTAACACAGTATTTCCTTCTGTATCACATGTATCTCGATGTGATTGTTCATTCATAGAACTCTTAAAGAACCATTCAAGCAAAGTGTCTTTATCTGAAAAATAAAATTTAATTTATCATAATACTGTAAATTCAACTGTATGGATTTTTTGACACAATTTCGGGTCTGAATAGTTTTGAAAAATTGATTTTAATTTCACGCTGGAAGAAATTATTGTCTATTAAAGATTTAAACATCAAAAAGTGGCACTGGTAGGTTGAATTTGTCGGAAAAATTACCAATCGCGAACATAGCGAGATTAAAACTATCTTGAATATTTAATGCACCTTTCAGTATGCACAGTATGTTTGTCTTTTCAGACTGCTTTAACATTTAAAAAATCAAGATCTTGTCAGATGCAAACTTTTTTGGTAACTTATGATAGAAACACATGTATCTGATTTTAAACTTATTTTAATGCATTCTGTATCTGAATTTAAATCATTTAATACTACTAAGTATTTCGGCTCCAGATTCTATAACTTGTATATTTGAACGTTTTCTCAATCCTATTAGATGTGGTCATCTAGAAAATCAGTTTGATTTAAAAAGATATTCATTTACAGACCTGGGTAACACTACTTCAAGCTCACCTGTTTCTAAGTACATTTTCAGTCCAATGTGAATCATTGGTTTTCCCATTTCCTGCTCCAGTTGCAGCACTGGTGCACCGTTATCAAGTAAAGCAACCGCAAGCTGCAGACCAAAGGTCCTCAGATTTTTCCTGGAAGAATTTTTCAAAAGTTTTCCTACAGGCACATTCGTAGTTGAGCCTTCGGCCAACATTTTGTCAAAATCACTTTTAGGACCTGAGTGTATCCCGACTACTAACAAACTCACACCCTCCCAGCAATCCATATCACACAGTTTCTGAATAACAATTTTCTGTGTGTCTATGCTCATCTGCTTGGTAAGCAAGTCAGGATGACCGTCCAAAACTTTCAAATATGCTTGCATATCTGCAAATAAAAAAAGAATGCTGAAACCTTAATTTGTTTTAAGAGCTATTTTTTCAATGTACTCTGATTCTAAGATTTGTAATCAAAAATTAATTGATAGCACTTTAATTTGTAGATGCAGATGTGACTATAATCTTTAATATATATTACATGTAATTGCTCCTACATTTCTTGATAATGCTAAAAAAGTTTACAAGAGGTGAATTGTAATTACCTGTTGTAGGTTTAAGTTTGGATATAAATCGAACAATCTCTGTCAAGAAAGCACTTGGTTCCTCGGCAATTTTGAATCCTTTGATGAGCATGTCTAGCGCCTTATCAAAAACCTTAAGCTTTTGCAGTGCAGTTGCAGCACACCAGAAACCCTGAAAATATCAACCCAACCACATAAATTTTAGTTTCCTTTAAAGCATGACAGCAAACTTCACGTATAAACTGAAAAAAAAAAAAACAAAACAAAATAAGTTCATACAGTAAAATTTGGAACTTCTTACCGCCTCGCTTTGCTCATCCATCACGATGTACTCTATGGAATTAGTTAGTGCTTCCTCCTGATTTTGAACAGTTACTGCTACCATTGCTCTGTAACCCAGAATCCTCTTATATTCATCCTGTAATCCAGATTCCTCACACAGCGAAAGTGCTTGTGAGTAAAGCTTCCATGCTGATTGGGCGTCATTTTTGTACAGGGCCAATTCTGCGTCTTTCTTTATCTGTTGAATTTTTTCCATTTTCTCCATGTTTCACATATTTATTGCTGCAAAAAATAATTTTGATAATCATAGTTCTTTAACAGTGGGACGGACAACTTCGGAATGGACATTTTTCCGAACTTGCGCACCCTTTTCCTTTGAAGCTATCCTCTTGGAATGTTTTTTAAATGGTGGGGTTTTTCTTCCTAAATGCATTTCTAAAATACAAAATGCAACATTTTCTGCTAGTTTTTGAGATATTTAGAGTCAAAAATAAAAATCCCATGGGGAAACATGTATAAAATTACCCCATGAAAAACCCCACAGAAACCCAATGGGGTTTAAAATTTTTCCCATGGGGAAAATAAACCCATAAAAATCAATGTGGGGTTTTTTAACCCATATGTTGCTTATATTGTCATGTGGGGTTTTTTCTCCCACGTTTCTTTATCATGGGGTTTAAAATCCCACATATTGATATTTTTAATTTAATTTAAAACCCCATGGGGTTTCTGTGGGGTTTTTCATGGGGTAATTTTAAGTACATGTTTCCCCATGGGATTTTTATTTTTGACTCTAAATATCTCAAAAACTAGCAGAACATGTTGCATTTTTCATTTTAGAAATGCATTTAGGAAGAAAAACCCCACCATTTAAAAAACATTCCAAGATGATAGCTTTAAAGGAAAAGGGTGCGCAAGTTCGGAAAAATGTCCATTCCGAAGTTGTCCGTCACACTGTTCTTTTTACAATTAAGACAGCAGCCTGGGTAAAATTTGATGTAAAACCTAGAAAAATGAAATCTTTTTACTTGTATACCATATCAAAAATACACAGTTTGACACATCGGCTTCATATTTAGATATCTTACTAGAAAAAGATGTTAATATTCATGGTAATCTTACAATAAATCTTTTTGATAAACGTGATGTCTTTCATTTTTCAATCGTCAACTTCCCTTACTTATGCAGCAATATTATAACTTTATCCCTGCATACGTAGTAGGTTATATCTCAAAGATGATTCGATACAAAAGAGTATGCTCTATATGGACAAATTTTGAATAAAGGTAAGTTAATGACAAAAAAGTTGATGAAACAAAAATATCTACAATCTCATTTGATTCCCCTTCACGCAAGGACACTCTGTGCCAAGTGTGGTTGAAATTGGACCAGTATCCGGAAGTGAATTCATCATTTCGTAAATTCTATGTTCGATACAATGAACCTTTTGACAATTACATTCTATCAATAAGTCAAATGCTTACTGTCTTTTTTTTTATACTTACTGTTAATCTATTATATACACACTGAATTGTTGACAGATTTTTTCGCTAGTTCCCGATCATGACAAGGAGCACACGATGGATATAACCGGCACGCTCACTCCTCCGTGAAACCTGATCCCACCTTTTATATTTTGGTGGCTCGTGTTTTTCTCTCCTTCTGATACATGTATATATATTGTTTGAATAGACTTTTGGGCTTGAATATTCTTTGTTTTCTCCACATATATTATTATATGCTGCTGTGAATGCAAAGGTTCGTATGTGTATTTTAGAAACCATTTCAAAATAAGTTACGTTTACTAGAGAATTGTATGAGTAAATGATTTTTCACATTTCAAAACACATTATGAATAAAAAGACGCATATGTTTCACTCAAATTACAATATTTGTTTATTTATATCATAAACTACATAATATGTAAGAAACAAAAACTTCTAGCGTTAAGTTTCCAGAGGAGATCAATGTATCGAGATCTAGTAAAATGTGGAAATAAGTGTATTTGTGTATATAAAAGAATTTATGTGATGTAAATGCGTACAAAATTGCGTATTTTTATTAATCACCATTTTGTGTGTGAATTCATGGGTCCCGAAGGGATTTTCCGGGTTTTATATTTAAGCGCCCTCTAGTTACGGCTATTAGCCTTATCCTTATCAAAATAACTTTGGGCTCAAAATCAGTTTCAGTATTTAAGAGCACATAACGACGATATTAGTTTTTTTTTAGAAATAGTACAAAAACTTATGAAAATCACGAATATATTCCATAGGAAATAAAATTTAAAATGGGATATTTAAATCCCTTTTCTAAAATTACACGAGCATTAAAAAAGGTGTTATACTTTTTTTCTTTTGTTTTAATATCTCTTTTAAATCGTGCCTCACTTGAAAAGAACTTTAATTCATTATAACTTAATAATCACACTTGTCGAATGCAGTAACCATTATTATGGTAGTTTATAAAGCATTTTAAAAATCAGGTCTTTAAAAAGAAATGATTTATTTTTCTTATCTTAAACATATCCTAAATCTTTTAAATTTCATTCAACATTATTGTAAACCTGTAAAATCTAATTACCAGACATACTTCGCAAAGCATTGCGCAATGTAAACCAAAGCCAGTCCCTTATTAGAAAAACATGCCTGTAGATGTCAGTTCTTTTAAATGAGGTTTTAAAAATATTTGAAAATATTTCATATTTGAGGATGAAATGTTTGCTTATTGGTCTACCAACCTACCTAGTATAAACACCAAAATACTGTAGCAGTTACCGGGTATTTAAAATCAAAAATAAAACCAGATCCTAGAAACAGTACTGACCCAGATAGCAGGATGTTATTGGACCTTTGTTGGGCCAACAATGCTCCTTATGTTGGGCCACCGTTTGTATTCAACATTGGGCCATCGGTAATTTGCTCATCGGCCCTTAATCAAACCAACTTGTTGGCTTATTGTTGGGCCAATGTAACAGTTAATATTGGGCCATTGTTGGGCTAATGTATTATTTCAATATTGGGCAAACGTCATTTTTGTACAATTGGGCCATTGTAAGCAGTTAATGTTGGGCCAACGGTAATTTGCTCATCGGCCCTTAATCAAACCAACTTGTTGGCTTATTGTTGGGCCAATGTAACAGTTAATATTGGGCCACTGTCGGGCCAATGTATTTTTTCAATGTTGGGCAAACGTCATTTTTGTACATTTGGGCCATTGTAAGCACTTAATGTTGGGCCAACGGTAATTTGCTCATCGGCCCTTAATCAGACCAACTTGTTGGTTTATTGTTGAACCAACGAACGGATATTATTGAGCCATTGTTGGGCCACCTATTCTTTCAATAGTAGTCAACTCCGTTTTGGGGCCAACGTTGGTTTGCATCTTATTGGCTCTCCATCAGGACAACTCATTTGCTCTTCACTGGTTGACCATTCGTCCTCAAAATTGACAAACAAATACATATATTAAGGTTATACTAGTTTTGTAGTAAAGTTTAATGGTAAAAGCCCTTTAATAGAGATTGTTCTATCTGACGCATCCGTATCCGTATACGTATCCGTATCCGTATCGAGGTATGAGAGGCATCTCGATCCCGATGTCTAAACCATTTAAATTAATACATTTTCCATCTCTGTTTGTGGTTACATACGCCACATTAGAAAATAGCAAATAGCAATTTTTGTATTAAAAATAATAAACTGTTGTACAACTCTATCATTTCGTAAAAAAAATATTTATTTAAAAAAGAAAGAAAATGAAGTCAAGTATAAAATATTTTGTTTTAATTATATCGTTTTGAAATTAATTTCATTTTGCTTCAAAATATTTGTAGGAAATCCCCTTTCTCTTTTCCACTCGCTTAATATCTTTTATAGATTTTGTCTGTATTATTCATATGCCATGTAACGGCTTACCAATTACCCCCCCCCCCCCCCTTCACACACACACACACACATACAAAATACGTTGTCATCATTAAAATCATCAACGCAATCGGTAAAACGCTGTAGCCGTTTTTAAAGAGACTATTCAAACTGATTTCATAATTAGCTTCAGGACCGTTATAAGTATTGAGTATATGCTTTGAAGAGTCCATGTAACTACTTCCTTTTCCCCTACCCTCACATTGGCGTCAGAAGCAAATTAAAAGTAGGTAGGGGGCTATTTGAAAGAGAAAAAAATCAGCCCTGAAAAACCTTGACAAACAAAAAAGTAAGTTAAACATCTTTTGACTTTCATTCATTAACATCATTTTTGGTTTGATATAAAAACTATTTCATAATACGGTATTCAACTCTCATTTTATGCAAAATATAAAATAATAATTATGGCTCAAATTTTTCAAAATAATACATCTTATTTTGCTAAACCTACTTGTCCATCGTGCCAATTTTCTTTTCTTTTCTTATCCTACTTTCTTTTTTTATATATATAATTTGGCCGAGATCGAGATCAGTGTGCACAAATTATAGAACTGAAGAGAAGGAACTGCTTTAATGTAGCCGAGACAAAATATCAAACATTAAAGAAAAATTACAACAATGAAATATCAAAGTTTTTCTCAGCTTGCTTTGTTCACTATTAACTCGATCATGTTCAATTCCCAAGCTCCTTGAAACCATATATATACGCATAGGCGTAAGAACCGGGGGTGGGGGTGGGGGGTTCTTAATCCCCCTCCCACTTTTTTGGCAAAGATAGACATAATATAGGCATTTAAAATTGGGGTTTACCTTTTTTGCTGGTTTAGCCTCCCCCCTTTTTCAATTAGCGCCCCTTTCTATTTGCTTCCGCCGCCCATGATAGGGCTATTGACCTACAATTTAGGGAATATATTCAAACCGCCCCAGAATTACCAGCTATCCAAATTTTTTTTTTTTGGTGACCTTCTAGGGGGGGGGGGAACTATGACTATCAAATACCTGATAATGAATGGCATAGAAGATGATAAAAAAAGGAGGATGGACATTTTCAGTGAATCACCCATACACATTTGTTTTGCCCTACAATGTATGGTTAAATCTTTCCCAGTTAATGTACAACTACATTTATTTACAATTTACAAGTTTGAGTTTAAGAAACTGTAATTATAATTATATATTATCGAGAGAGATGCGAGAGAGAATGAACAATGAAGAGAGAGAGAGAGAGAGAGAGAAAGAGCGAGCGAGAGAGAGAGAGGTTAATCTAGAAATATTTTCGAAATATCTTTTACTCATTTAAATTAAAAAAACATACAAGTTTGTTTTTCGAATTTTATTT